TTTAGAATTCGTTTGTATAAGAAAACATCTTTTTTAATTTCTTATTTTGTAGTTACTATTTTAACATCTTTATTTTATTTTATTTTATTTTTTTTTTAAGGGTTAGCACCACATCCTGACGGGAAAAATTGGCTAAAAAATATTTTTTTCATGATATTTTGAGCAGTTTTGACTATTTTTCTTTTATTAATTTAAAGTTTATGGTTTTTTTATAAAAGTCCAGCTAGATGTACAACACGCACAATATAAATTCACATTTCAAACTTTGAGCAGAAGTTATTAAAATTCTGCAAAGCTTCAGCAAAACTTCAAGCTTTTTCATCAGCATATTTAGAAAAAATTTTACAGTTTTGTAGTTTATTAAATTTTAGTACAATGAAGTGCAAGTTGCAAGCTGCTGAAAATTCCGTAGAATTTTGGCACTTTTTTTTCTGGCAGTGTCCTCCAAATAAAAGAAAATTGTCGAACATATCGCACACCATCTTCAAAAGAAGCACAACTCAAAAATCAAATCCGAAAATATAACTGCTTGTGGTTGGTGCAGATTCAACGCAATTAATACAAAACAGGCATAACAGTAATTTTCTAGTTCGAGAATATAATCGTAAAAAAAAAATGTTTGCATTAAATGAAGATAAATCCTACGAAAGGATTTATGCATAAAAATCGACCTAAGTTTTTTTTTGCCCTTTAGGAATGATTTAAAAAAAAAAACAATGTTTATAACTATAAAATGGCTAAGATATGAGTCATCCAATTGCCCCTTCTTCTATTTTCAAAATGTTGTACAAGATTTATAATTTAACTTAAATTCAACTGGCCTAATTACGTGAAAAAACGTTTCCTCCCACAAATTAATTTTTATTTTCGTTTCTTATCTAACGCAACACACATTCACTAATAAGCTCGATGGCCTAAATATTTATAACAGAAGAATAAGTATAGCAAGCGATTAAATATGTTTACACACAGAAAATAAACCGAAAAAAAACAATAAGAATTGAAAGCAAAAACGAACTGAGAAAATACAGTAATACAGTCAGTCAATAAAGTTTAGGTACAGCGAATTTTTTACAATACAACAAAAGCACCAAAAATCAAAGTTCCAAACCTTGTGCAAAATCAAAGAAAATTCTGCAAATTTTTTTTGATTTTTAGCAATTTTTTTTTGTTGAAGGTGTCGCTTATTTTCTCCATATAAAATACTATTTGGTAAAAAATTCCCCAAAAATCAATGGTAAGTCCTAGCTGCCTCGTACTTGCACTTCATTATACTAAAATTTAATGGGCTAAAAAACTGCATATACTCAACTTTTTTCTATAGAGCGTAAATAAAAAGTGCAATATTTGAATGGAATTTTGCAGAATTGTCTTTAATTTTGCACACGGTTTGGAACTTTAGTTTTTGGGGTTTTTGTTGTAGAATTAACCATATTTAAAAAAAAAAAAGCGAAAAATAAAATATTTAAAAAATAGTTGCCCGCATTGTAAAAAATTCGCTGTAAGTACCTAAACTTTATTGACTGACTGTATGTAATAAATAAATGGAAATACAGTCACTCAAGAATCTGCCAGCCAGTTGATCAAAAATATGTATGTTTAAGCCAAAGCTCTTCATGCGAGATTGTGAAATCATGAAGTTGTACAGGTTATAAGCTTTATGGCATATTTACGAGCGGTTGTTTGCTGAAAAAACGACATAACTCAAAGCAACGTACACTCGATAAAAGCGGTTTCAAAACGTTTAGTCCATTGCTATTCATTAAGTATCATTAAGTATTTAGTTATTATTATAGTTATAATTGTTGCAAAATATAGCTCAAACTATATAAAACTACTAATCAAGTCTTAATTTGATTCTTCACATTGGTCAAAATATGATTGTTATGAACTTCTTCCATCAAGCGAGTGATATATGTATGTATATATATACCAAGTCTAAAAATAACTACGCTATGTATATATGTATGGTTTAAAGTTCCAACAAAACTATGAAGTACCTGCAAAACCAACGTGTCGATAAGAGAACGATATAACAGCAAGTGGGTGAAAAAGAAAAAGAAAAATGAGTTCAAATTTAGATAAGCACGCCGAAATCGCAGACAAATCGCCATTGAAGGTTTTTGTGTTTGCTGGTTTTATCGGCTAATGCGAATCGGAAAACGCCTCCGAACGGCAAAAGGATTTTATGAGAGGCTTTTTTATGGCAGAAATTATAATTACCAGGGTTCGTACGCAGGTCCTATGGATAGGTAGTACGCATCTCTAGCCCCTCAGGCACAGCGGCCCCCATATGAAAATACTTGACGTAAAATAAGTAAATAGTTTGTCTTTGAAGTTTTATGGGTCATAAGTTTAACAAATCTGTTGATAAGATAGTTCATAAATATGAACATAGGCTACTTATGTTTGGCGACGTTTAAGTACTTACATACAATTTATAAGTGAGATAGAATTTAGTACGGTCGAAGATTAAGTTGAATTAAAATTATAATTACGTGTAGAGAAACTATGTAAATGTATGTATATGTGAACTATAAACACATGTAAAGCTATGTACATACATGCATATGTAAAGCTACACTTGTGATCAGCTGATTAAGTTAACCCTGCAGTGAAAAGCCAAACCAGTTAGAAAAAAAGCACTAGCTTATTAACTAGTATGTGCCTACCAGTTCGACAATTTCGAAGAACTTAAGCGTTCAGCGACATCTGCCGTTGAATTACCAAAGCCTAAAATAAAACGCACTTAATTGCTTTTCTTACAAATGTCGGCTGTGGCGTCACGTGAAGACTATTTATTTATTTCAATTAAAATACAAATAAGAAATTTGAAAATCTAATTGCACTGTAGAAAAATCATACATACGGGAAGAAATGCTTGTGCCATAAAAAAAAATTTAATTAAATTTAAAAATTACAATAAACCCCCTAAATAAAAAAAAAAATTATTAAATAAAATAAAAATATTTTCACTGCTTTTCACGGGGGATGAATTGGCAGACTATCTCATAAACTGGTATGATGCTACTAGTATTTCTACTAGTAGATGCTGATGCATGACCTGACAACTGACATCTCGTACTACATCGCAATGTTAAAAATACCAGTCGCTAACATTGAAAAAGCATAGAACGTGAACTGGTTGGGCTGAAACGCAAACTGGTAGAATTGTAGTTCACAACTAGTAAGTAGCTTTCCCTTCAGGGAAGTGACATTTTGACCAGTTTGGTTATTTTTCGTTGGTTTATTTATAATCTTTATAATTTTTTTATAAAAACCTAGCATATTACATAACCAGCCCCATATAAATCCACATTTCAAAATTCTTACAAAAATTATGAAAATTCAACAAATTTTAAAAATACACCCAAAAATTTATAAATTTTTATTATAAATTTTTACAAAAATTTTAGGTACGCAGTTTTATAGCTTATTAAATTTTAGTAGGTTAAAGTGTCATCTTTAAAATTATGAAAATTCAACAAATTTCAAAAATTACACCCAATAATTTTAAAATTATTATTTAAAATTTTTACAAAAATTTTAGGTACGCAGTTTTATAGCTTATTAAATTTTAGTGGGTTAAAGTGCAAATTTTAAAACGCTAGAAAATCGCGTTGATTTTTAATAATTTTTTTCCTGATGGTAGGCATTTTCCTCCATATAAAAGAAATTGTGGAGCATAAGTACTTTATATGGGAGAAAATGCCCAACAACTGAGAAGTAATTTGACCCAACCGCAGAGCATGCATTACTAATGCATAAGCCATACATTTGTTCTATTGAAGGACAAAGGAGAAAAGTCAAGATATAGCAAGTACTTAAATAATAACTAAAGAAAATTTATCTTTACCGAATCAGATGCTATGCCTAAAAAGCAAGAACGTGAACTGGTTTTGAACCGGATAAACCACCGAACCGAAGCATTACTAACCAAACCAGGCCGTTTTTCAACCGCTTTCTGGGATAGAGCGCTTTTGAACCGGCTGCCGAGATAGTGCGATTTTCCACTCAGCCGTCGATATAGCGAATATATTTTTTTTCTTTATTGTTACTGAAATAACTGTTTGTTACAGAAATATTGCAAATATGGATATAGGGGATTCACAAGGCGTGTTAACCGTCACAAAATAACTTAGCATTTTTTAAATGAAAAATATTGATTAAAATGATTTTAGAGTATTTCTAAGTACACTGAAATGTTTTTAAACTAATAAAAAGAATATATAATTAGCCCCACAAGCCCCCAAATTTTAACCGTTATTTAACAGAAAAACATGTAAAGCTTAAGATTTTACGTTGGTTAACACGTCTTGTGAATCCCCTAATAGTTTTGTTTTAATTCCCAAACCGTTGAACCGAACCGAAACCCCAGTTCAAAGCCAATAAAAACTGAACCAATTCGAAGCGCTAAAACGAACCGACCAAATTTTGCATGACGTTCACGTTCCTGCTAAAAGCGCCCATAATAAGGCAAATATCGAACACAAAAATTAAAATATTCTAATTTTTCATTTCTCTTGTTAGCTTACCTTAGAATACTTTGCTGTTCGGAAGTGGCCCGTGGAAAAATATTTTTTACTTATTGCTACAGTATTGAGCACAGCGTTTAATTCACTTTGGATTCTGTATTTGCGCGGATGGCTTGCTACTTAATTATGCCAAGTTCAATTCGTGTTAAGTATGCCTACTTGATTTTTTTCTATTAGTTTTTTTTCTTTAAGCTTTCGTCGTATGTTTTTGATTTTGCTAAGTTCTTTTTTGTTTTTGCTTCACTTTTTTTTAACACACAGGAGAGTGCTGCTTTTCAATCATCTTTGTATATGTATATGATTTTATCATATTTTTATGTTTTAATTTTCGTTTCGCTTTATACACGCACACGCGATGTTCGCCTTGTATTTTTGTTTATTTCTATTTTTATACAATTTTATTTCTTTTTAGGCGCGATGCCGCCGCTGCTTTTGTGACTTTGTTGGTCTCTTTATTTTTTTTTGTGTCGTATTTGTTCTTCGATTTATTTTGCGGTTATTACCACAGTATTTTTTTGCTCTTGCCTTTCGAATAAATGTTGTTGATAAATATGTACATATGTACATACTATGTCGATATTCTCTGTTGTTGTTTTTGCATTCCACTATTTTTCCACATCGCTAGGCGCAAAGACAAAGTGACAAATCACGTTTTTATGTCACGTTCACTTTACTAGCGCTGCCGCTGATTTGCTTATTCCACTTGATTTCTTGCCTTCTCATTTACTTTTAGACCCGGGGACTATAGTACCTAGTCAAGCCTCTCTTTGGTGAATAAAACCCATCGTATAAAAGCATACATACAGTGACTCAAACAAGTTGTAGGCGCTTTAACCAAAACCATATACAGTGGCGGAAAAATAAAAAGGGACACGACATTTTTTCAAATTTTGCTTATTTTTCTTTCGTTTATTTAATATTTATAATTTTTTCATAAAATTATAGTTCACTACTAACAAAAACCATATAAATTCATATTTCAATCTTTGTGCAAAAATTGTAAAAATTCAGCAAAATTGCATATAAATTTTCAACTATTTAATCAGATTTTTTATATTTATTTTTTTTTTTTTTTTTGAATATGTACATAGTTTTATAGCTCATTAAATTTTAGTAGAATGAAGTGTAAGTTTTAAATTGCTAAAAAATCGCGTTGATTTTTGGCAATTTTCTTTTATCGCATTTTCTTCATACAAAGTATGTATGTATCGACGCGATTTTTTAGGAACTTCTAACTTGCACTTTATTCTACTAAAATTTAATGGGCTATAAAACTGCATACTCAAAAAATTAAAAAGTTGAAGATTTAGAAGCAATTTTGCAAAATTTTTATAATTTCTGCACAAAGTTTGGAATATGAATTTATATGGTTTTTGTTAGATAATGAGCTATACTTTTATAAAAAAAAAAAAATTATCGGGCAGGTTCTGGAATTCCCTTCCGAGTGAATTTCAACCACTGCCCATTTGAATTCAAAGCATAATTGACTCAAATTCACTCGGAATTGCAAAACCTGTCGAAATCTATATATTAATACGCTAACGAAATTCCATACAAATCTATTCCTCCTTACTGCTCCCATGTTTCTCAACCGATTTGAATGTTTGTTCTTTTGTTCGAAAGGTGTTTTAAATAGGGGGTGCGCATTTTATTTGTTTTCCCGGTTGTTTATGGTCCAATTTGCTTCAAATTCAAAATACGTGTTAATAACATCAAGAGAAATATACCAGCAAAAAATGGACCGACCCGATAGGCGGCTCCAGAGCCGAAGCAAGTTTCAAGCGGCTAATCAATTCAAAAAATTAATGCCAACTTTTGTAAATTGCACTTGTTATATAAAAACAAATCTGAAAAATCAAAGCTATTTTTTAGCCGGTGAGACTTGCACTTCATGCAGAAAGGCTCTATCTTACGTTTCCATTTTTTACATTAAATGCAAAAACCCATTCTGTGTGTATGGCTATTTGAAAATTTTCAAGGAAGAACTGTATCCACCAATTTCGAAAAAAAAAAAGTTTCAGGGCCTTTCTACATTTCATCAACGATATGCTTTTGAATACTTTCAATCTACACATTATTTATTATATTTAACATTATGCGCTTTTCAACTCTGGCCAGCATTGATTATATATTGAAATAGTCTTACGAGCCTTATATAATTCATGTCTGATCCATACTTCTTACTTTAGCAATCCTTATTACTTACTTTAGTAAGAATTGGACATGGATTAGACAATAACTACATAGACATGAGCCACTTAACAGTATTTTTTGAATGTTGAAATGTGTCGTTATTGCAGAGGACCATCGATATGCAAATATACAATTAGATTTTGTTACAGTTAAATTTCTTACTATACACTCGGTTGCAAACGACATGCATACATGTATGTATGTATGTATGTAAATAATTAAAGAAACAGGTGCGATTTACTACTTCTACTTATTGGCCTACTTTACGTTCATTTCATTCAACTTTTGAAGCTGATTCCTCTGCAATTAGAACGTAGAGATAGTATTGACTCAAGCTTAGAAACCATGTCAAGCAATTTTTCCCTAACCCTTTTGTGCAGATTTTTCTCTGTCCACTCTTTTAACTAAGTACTAAAATTTATAAATTTTGTTAACGCTTCTGCATATTTTGCCAAGAAACTTCTTACTGTTTTTCCTCTAACCCAGTGATCGGTTTAAAAAAAAAAATCTGTGTGGTAGAATCTGGGAAAAAATGTGGTAGATTTCAAAAAAATGTGGTATATCTCCGGTTTTGGATCAAACTTTGTACAAAAATTAAAAAAATTCTGCAAGGTTTCCCTTAAATTGCAACCATTTTAATTACTCTAAAAAATTAATTTTGGTATAATAAAGTTCAAGATTGAAGTTGCTAAAAATAGTGTTGAGTTTTGGGAATTTTGTTCCTTGACAGTGTAAAGCAGTTTCTTCCATATCAAGATATTTTTCGAACATATTTTGCAACCTTGCGGAGTGCTGCAAGCTTTACAGAAACCGCTACTTGGGATTTGCCGATTTTAACATTTCTCAAGTAAAAGTAAGTAAACAACGCTTCAGAAACTTTAGATGCACTGAAATTTGCTAATACTTTCACAAAAATCGCCGTTCTTTAACATTTTCGCTAATTCTTTTTATAAATCATATATTTTACAATTTACCATAATAAAACCACGTTTCCTGTCGAAACATTTATTTTTGAGCAAATTTACTATTTTACAGGTTATTTTATCCTCCCATTCGGCTTTGTTTACTTTTACTTGAGAAATTTCATCGCCGCCGCGAATGCGGAATCTTGTATTATATCATTCTTGTTACCATATAGTGTTTAGTGTTGGACAATTTTTGCTCTTAAACTTAAGAAAATTATGTCGAGCAAAAATAAAACTAGGTACTCAAAAACGCGAATATGTGGTAGATTTCAGACCTTGTGTGGTAGATGTGGTAGACGCTCAAAAAAGTGGCAGATCTACCACAATGTGGTAGACGTCCGATCACTGTTCCAACCCTTGTTTTAATGAAATATATACATATTTATGTACAGCGTTGTGCAAAACAAAAGCAACAAATTTAGTTTTATTTTTGTCATTGCAGTATTTCTATCGAAAATGGTTTTACAAAAATTTAATGATTAATTATTAAAAACCTCAAAGTGCTTGAAAAGAAATATTTACCATTTTTAGGTGAAAAACATGATTAAAAAGCAAAAGCTGGCCCAGGCTACGTTGCATAAAAAAATCAACAGAGCATCGTAAAAACTCTTAATCCCACAACCACTGTAATCTTCGAGCAATTGATGCTAGTAAAAAGGTGTTCGCACGAGGCGATTTTGCGTTCAACTCACGCACGGTTGCACGAAAAAAAAAATAGAATGGCTAAATGTTGGCCGACGATTAACTTTGTTGAAAGCGATTAGTTGAAAGGCCGTTCAACCGTACATTTATTGTGATTTTAGTATTAACAAAGTTGACCTGAACGAAACGGTTTCTTACAAACAACTTTTGAATGGTTTAACGAAATCAATTACCGCCTTCGGATTCTTAACACTGGCAGTAATACCCATCGTTTGATGGTGTTTTGGGTCAATTTTCTGTGAGCCCGCTGTGGGAGCTGCATTTGTTCCAAGATTCTCGTCAAACTGTTTTGAAGATATACAGCAGTAACATTGATCAAACGCAATTTTCTGCTTTTGTTTTGTACAACACTGTAGCTATTGTACTTTATCATACTTCACAAAACACAAAGTTGACACAGTTGTCATTTCAGCAGCGGCAAACTGCGCAGCTCAGCCTTGCACTGCAACGTCGCGTCATCAGCTGAGCACAACAACTATGCTGTACCACCTTCCTCCAATTAGCAGACGATTAATGCAAAAACAACATCAGGTTAACCAACTTCGTGTGAGCCCCAAGCCCAAAGCCCCAAAGCCACGATTTTCTTTTCGCTTCTTTTAGCACGGCCGCACGGCACAGTTTTTAGCAGCACAGTCAGACAACAGCAAATTGACAATGCACTTGCGCCTTTGGAGCTTAATCCAATTCACATCAATAATGGTTGTTTTTGTGCACGGCCGAAATGCACTAATAACGGCACTGCTTACTTTTTCCCCATGAACAAATGCTGTACATGTTCTCTGCTTTTCATCCACTCCCACTAAATTTAGGTGCCCCGAAATATATTTTAATCTTCAACGAAAAATCGATTTTCTGAACTTTTTGTGATTTAATACAATTTAAATGTGCCCCGTGAATGCTCACCGTGCGATATGCGATGCAGACGTTTGTGCAGTCTGGAATTTCGTTCACTGTTTGCAATCGTTTTTCCTCTAAAATTTTTGCATTATTACGTTTCTTGGCTGAATTTTTATGTTAGAATTTTTCTTCACTAAAAATGTGGTTTAAATGCCTACATCAAACAAATTTTACGACTGTAAAAACCTCGATCCGCAATTCTGCTGCACACTCAAACAGGGAAAATAAAAGACTGAAAAACTTTTGGAAAAGAACTTGCATCGATAACCGATAGCCACTTTGACAATCGATTAGCGAGCAGTGTTGCATTTTTAGGATTAAGAGAAAATCCCTAATAGGGAATTTACATGATTCAACTTTCACAGGCGATTAGTTGAACCAAAAGTTGAACGAAAGCAGGGAGCCGACCAACTTCATTGTAAGCGATTAGTTGAAAGGCTGTTTACACCAGGCGATTGTTGCTTTCAACTAAAAATCGCCTGAAAAATCGCCTCATGTAAATTCCCTATAATCGGTTGGCGAAAAAGACCCAAACCGGTTCACTTTCAGCTTTCAGGGACAGTGTTAAGAAATATGGACTGTCCTGACAAAACTGGTAGTGGTTTTTCATGTATGTAATTGCAGGCATTCCTCCTTTGTCTATTCTGTTTGAAAAAGAGGCCTGCTGAAGCGCCCTACGACAGCCCAATATGATCAGCAAGAAAAATTGGGATCTTCGGGGTCATTGGGAGGTTCTAAAGCCATTCCTGGGTAATCCCGAGTTATCCTTCTACAAACCCTACAAGGTCAGAATTCCTGAAAGAGAGCTGATTCGTAGCTTTTTTCCTATACAAAAAAGTAAATTGTAACAAAAATTTGAAGGAATTTTATTTACTTAAATGCGTTATGCCTTTCGGCAGCGGGCGGATTCAAAATTGGATGAATATCGTACAGCTGATTGCAGTTTACCAACTACTGGAAATATCATTGATCTTCCACCACGATAATTCGGTAACCGGTAAAGCGATACCAAAATAATTTTACACAAACAAAATACCTGGGGAAAATCTACCGCAAAACTCAACATGCAAACATGATTGCGTGAACCAAAAATACAAGATCACCTAATCAAAGAAGTAAGAAAAAAGTATATTTCTGAGCGTTTTTGACATCTGCCTAAGAATGAAAACAAACAAAGAAAACGAAAAAGACGCGGTGATTGAGTCATCTACTCCTGCAGCTGCTAGGCTGCATAAAGCTTTAGCGAGAGACAACACTGGGAGCAGGCTGCCTAATAGGCTACCTAATTGGGCTTTTTCAGATACTGAACAGGAAAGGGCACTCGCCCTGCTGTCGGCCCACTTCCCGGACGCCATTCCCACCGCCGGGGATACGTTGTTCCGTGCGTTCAGGCCATCCCCACCAGACTGGAAGTTGGCTAAAAGCCTTATAAACCGGCAAACAGTGCGGTGGGCTCTGAACTCTTTCGAACGGTACAAGACCCCTGGGGTGGATGGTGTATGTCCGGCGCTGCTGAAGCAGGGCGGGGAGCTCTTACTTCCACATCTTGTGGACATTATGAGGGACAGTCTAGCACTGGCTCACATTCCCAAGGTGTGGCAGAGGGCCAGGGTTATCTTTATCCCGAAGGTAGGTAAGAGGGATTACTCTCTTGCCAAGTCATTCAGGCCGATAAGTCTCACATCCTTTATGTTAAAGGCAATGGAGAAAATTATTGATCATGAAATCAGGTTTAACACTCTAAAACAAACCCCTCTGCATTCCAACCAGCACGCGTACAGGGTGGGGAGATCCACGGATACTGCCCTGTATGCCCTAACGGAGGAAATACAAGGGATCTTTGAGCGTGATGAGGGTGTGCTCTGTGCCTATCGAGGGGGCCTCGATAACGCCTCCCATTTGGGAGTCGACAGAGCTCTTAGGAAACAAAAAGTTCAACCAACCATCCAAGATGGATAGCAAGGTTACTTCAGGCCAGGATTGCCGAAACCGAAGGCGGTGATAGCGTCGTTCAAATACAAACGACGAAAGGGTGCCCACAAGGGGGGGTATTATCTCGTCTACTGTGGAGCTTCGTTGTGGACGAACTCCTACAGAAACTTACTAACGAGGGCGTCCGTTGCCAAGGGTACGCGGACGACAAAGTGATTATCGCTAGAGTGGAGTTCGCAAGTACTCTCTATGACATCGTCCAAAGAGGACTTAACCTTGCAAAAAGGTGGTGCGCAGACGTATGTTTAAATATCAACCCTTCAACCCTTCTAAGACAGCCATAGTCCCCTTCACCAAGAAACGAAATCTCCAGGGGATGAGGAACTTGACCTTGGACGGGGTCGTAATCAGTGTCGCCACTCCAAGCTTCTGTGGAGGGCCCATGTTGATGCGGTCACCTCTAAGGCCACGAGGGCGATGATGGTGTGCAAACGTCTAGCGGGTAAATCCTGGGGGTGCACTCCGAGGATCCTCAGATGGATGTACACCATGATAGTGAAACCAATAGTGACTTATGGTCCGGTGGCTTGGTATTCCAGGACTGCTATGGGACCCTCTCCAAGATTCAACGTCTGGCATGTGTTTGCATTACGGGAGCAATGCGCCCATGCCCGACGGCAGCGCTGGAGGTAATGCTGGAACTCGAGCGAAGGTAAGGTGCTATCATCTAGGAACAGGGACAAACTAAGTTCCCAGCTCCCCCTGGCTTTGATCCCCAGGGACGATATTAACAGAGAGGTGGTCTTCAAGAGAAATTTCAGGACCCACACTTATAACAAGGCGACCTGGTGTACCTCTATTATGGAGAGTCACATACAGGCGAGCACAATACAGTGGTATACTGACGGCTCTAAAATACCCGCGGGGACTGGAGCAGGCGTGTACGGCCCTAGGCTGAAGCTTTCGGTGCCCCTGGGA